CGGGCATGTTGGGCAGACAGGGAAGAAGTGCTGCCATGGCAGGGACTGCTGACTCCCTGCGTTCCCGGTTGCCTGGGGCTGAGGAGAATGCTGGGGTGGTGGGACACCATGTCCATAAGGCCCTCAATTTAAAAAACATCTCCAAAAAAAAAAAAAAGAGAAAAAAAAAAATGCCAAGGCTGACAAACGGCAGGCTGTCCCACAAGGCCGTGCTCAGGCAGCTGGCATCCCCTCCCCACACCTGGAGCTGTGCCCAGAGCTGCTCCCTCTGCTGCCTCCCCCCTGCCTCCCCCACTGCTCGCCCACCTGCTTGTGAACCTCCTCCTCCTCCCCCCAATGTAACGTACACTGCAGGCACGGCAGGAATGAGCTTGTGAGCGGTGCCCTCTCCACCTCCAGTGAGAGGCCCGAGTAAAGTTGTCCTCATGGAGAGTTGGCCATGAAGAGTTGGCCCATTCCGTCAAGCTGTTCACAGGCAGCTTCTCACACATCTCACGAATACAGAAGCATGGGCTGCTCTCACTGACAGTAGGTGATTTTGCTTGGTGATTTCAGAGAATGACGAGGAGCAGGAGGCTCTGCTGTCACTGGACAAGCCCGGCTGGTATTCCCAAGGTAATGCTATCCAGCTTTATGAACTACTGAAGAAGATGACTGGCAAGTTGGATCCCAAGGTATGTTATAAGAGAGAGTAAATCTTTCTGAAAATACCCTGTTTGAGTCTAAAATTCACCAGACAAGCTTTCATTAAAGTTATTGATGTGATCGTTCACAAATTTTTGTTCTGGTTACGCTTGCTGTTGTCTAATAGACTTCAGTCCATAACTGGAAGTAGCATATTAGTCTTCTTATCAATAGATATTTTATTCTGTATGCATGGTCATGCATTTTGGCAGCTTTGGGAAGAATCAGACTGTAATCAATAAATAAACAATCTCCCTGAGGAAACAGATCGAATAGATTTAAAGGTGTCATCAGTGAAAACTAGGATCATGTTATTTTAATTACAGGTCTGGATGGGTGAAAATGCCACTGAAGACGGTGGGACCACATTTTCCCTAGTGGGTAAACTACCCTCTGGGCACAGAAGAGTTCTGAGTCACTGAGAGATGCTCCATGTTCTCCCTTGTTTCCAAAGCTGTCCAAAATCCATTCACGTTTTTTAGTGCATTTTCTTGGTAGTTTTTTCCACTGCTTCCTGGCAGGCTATTTCTGTCCATCAAAAATCTCAGTGGTCTCCTCTGTGCCAGTCCCAGCCAGGCATCCCCATCCAGTGCCCCTGGAGGGTGAGAGTGAGGAGGGTGTGCAGGGCCATCCTTTTCCTTATGGATCTGGCTGAAGATAAAACCCCAAACTGTGACATTAATAAGATCTCTGTGTGTCATGACCAATTGTAAACACAGAGGAATTTTTATTAGGTTGTTTTAAAGCTCTTTTTCTCTCTGTGAAATACAGTTTGCTTGTGTTTTCCTCATATACAATGAACTTTTAATTTGCTGCTTCCCTCATAGGTTGTTTATTTTGGTGACAGCATGCACTCAGATATTTTCCCAGCTCGTCACTATAGCAACTGGGAAACTGTCTTCATCTTAGAGGAGCTTCTAGGGGACAAAGTTGCAGTGCCTGTGGAGACTGAATCTGAGCCCTTGGAAAAGAAAGGAAAATATGAGGTAAGGGTTCCTTGCAGATGTTTCCTGGAACAGAAGACAGTAACTTACAAAAAAGCCTCATGCCACCTGTGCTAAGAACAAGCCTGCTTATCTTACTAGGCTGATGAAAGCCTCAGCATCCCTCACAGACATATCCTCCTGGCCACACCAGGAGGGTGCCATCCTGTCCCAGCTCAGCGTTGCATGGGTGACACAGAGCCTCTACCCAGAGCTGAATCACAGATCTTGGAAAAAGAGCTGTATGTGCTTTCCCTTAACAAAAAAACATAGTCTTCTCCTTTTCAGTAACAAGAACTTGCCCTCCGTCCTACAGGGAGAAATTTCATGGCCACTTATCACAAGTCCAGCACGTGAACTCTGCCAAGTTCATGAAGTTTCCCTGCACGTCATGGCAAACTGTAAACACAGAGGAATTTTTATTACATTGCTTTAAAGCTCTCTTTCTTTCTCTGTGAAATACAATTTGCTTGTGGTTTCCTTATATACAAAGAACTTTTAATTTGCTGCTTCCCTCATAGGTTGTTTATTTTGGTGACAGCTGTGTTTCGAAGTCTGGTCCAGTGCAGACTACTGATAGTTACCTCAGATAAATAATGTGATTTTCATGTTGATCGCAGCTGGGAAGCAGGGCCTTAGCACAACTGCCACACTTTAATTCTCCCACAGAAGGTGGAAGCTTACTATGGTTTATCCTTCTCTCCACTGCTGAAGAACAAAGCAGACGGGGAATGGCTCTCGGATGGACGATGCAGCAGTGTTGTACCTCCAGCGTGTCCTATGCAGGAACTACAGTGCAGCTGCACTCTCTGTTTGGAGTGTTTCTTCTTTTCTTACGTTCCTAAATAAATAGCTCATTTTTGTCTAATTGCAGAGAGATATATGTGCTTTTTCACTTGGCTTTGAAAAGCACTTTTTTTTTTTTTTAATAATTGCTCTTTGTGATTAAAAAGTTAACATACAGATAGGAAGATTTTTGTGGGGTGCTTTTAAAGATGTTTTTAATCTGACTAAGAAACATTTTTAAAGCCCCTGGTTTTTATGGAGGAAAGGGTATCTTCAATGGGACTAAAACAATATAGGTGTGACATCTATTTCTCTACTTTTTTAATAGACATATCTAATAATTTCCCCTCTATCCTGATTTCTAAACTAAGGTCAGACAAGGACATTTCAGTCACTGAAATAAGGAAATGTAATCATTAATGTTTAGGCTTTTTACTGGGTTATAGAAGAAACAAAAATTAAGTCAAACAAACTCAAGTCTCCTATCAAGAAAAATGTGTTTCTCAGTAAAAAAGCAGGCAGGGGGTGTGTGTGTGTGTGTGTGCACGTGGAAGGAAGAAAGAGTGAGTAGTAGTTGATTTTATTAATTAATGCTATAAAAATAACTCCTTCTCCTCCATAAATTTGTTCATTCTCTGACTGGAGACTCTTGCATTGCTGCATAGAACTTGCATCTCTGTAAGGTTTGGGGTTTTTTATTCAATCATGGTTTCTTAAGTATGTTCAATACATGCTTTTGAAGCACACGTATTTAAACAGACAGGCAGAACATGTTTCTTCTCCTGGAAGTACAAAGGAAGAGTTATGAGTGAGGCGTTTCTAAGCCCTTGATGACGATTTGGATTTCTCTTGTTGCAGTACCTCTGGTCGACTGCTCACAAGATACATCTTCTCTATCACTGCAGTTATCAAGCAGGAAATTGAGACTTTTAGACAGGTGCTTGACATTTCACTGGTGCTGTAGTATTCTTGATAAGAGATTGCAGTATCTCGGGGAGACATCCCCCCTGCCACACACAACCCCTGTTCGGTTTACATCCGCTACCAGTGACAGCAAGCAAGCAAGGGAGAAATGAATTGCGTTGATTAAAGGAATCTGAACGAGGGGGGCCACGGCAGGTCAGTGGTGTTATTTCATTACCACGCTGCTCACTGGAGTCTGAACAACAGGTCATATCCATATCTCTGCAGTTGACTGGACACCACTAACTTAACAGGACTGGTTCAAAGGGACTCCCTTTACAGGCCTATGGGAGTTTTATTTTCATTCCCCTAATCAACTTCCCCCGTTAACCCTTTGGTTAAGAAGGGAGAAAAGCCAACTCAAAGGATTGTACAAAGTCAGGTGTTTTTGGAAAATTAGGCACTAACAAATTAGATTTAGTCTTATTTATCAGCCTTACTCATCGGCAATGAAAAAAATACACTACTATTGCAGATTTTCCATGCCATGCTGCGTGTGCAGAGAGGGACTGAATATTTAATACAAGATGCAATCCTCCCTTCTATCAGTCTTTACAAAATATTATTCAAGAAATAAAGCACTACTTCTGATTTGCAATTGCATCTTTCAGAAAGAAATTACAAACAACTGGTTTCAGTTGTTTGACTAGTATTTCATCACTAGCAGAGAGAGGGGAAGAAAACAACCTCCTCATACACAAACTGGGAGGCTAGTAATTTCCATTTTCATTAGCATTTTTTTGTCTTTTCTCTTCAATTAAATGCATGATATAAGCCAGAAACACACAACTGTAAAATTATGGTAACATCTGCAGTTCTTTCAAGTACATGAGTCATAACCAAATGAGCAAGAGAATAGCAAACTAAAAACTATTCATGCAATTACTCGTCTCCTAAGTGAATTGCAACATGCAGGGGAAAAAATACCAAGCATTGTGTTGAAACGAGATTTCCCCCAGATTTGGGGGTTTGTTTGCTTGGCTGGAGGCTTTGTTTTTGCCTTCTGTTCTTTAAATGTGTGATCAATTCCATCAATGAAAACTCGAAGAAAAGCTGGAATTTGTCCCAGGATTTCGAGGGAAGTGATTACAGAGGAGCTAGTCAGCATTTAAAAACCTATAGGAATGAATGGAGCAGAAATCAAATGAGTTATTGGCAGATATAGATGACATTTTTGCAGTTAGAAGGAAAACCTATTTTTTACAGTATTGCCCAGTGGCTGGTGGGTTGAGAGGTCGAGGCCCTTAACCCCCTGAATTTCCCTGACTCCCTCAGCATGACCTGAGACAAGGGCTAATTACTCTGTGCCTTTTGGCTCTGTTTGTCTCTTTATTGCTGTTTGACACAAATCTAACAGTATTTTCAGAAACAACCTGGTTGGCTGTTGTGAAGCCTGGCGAGTTAAAGCCATATCCTTAAAGCAATATCCTGAAGTTAAATGTATTTTATTTTGAAGGAAGTCTGCTTATAGTGATCCATGTTGAAGTTTAGCTGTAACGATCACAGGCGAAATGTTTTATATTTGCACGACTTGTGGGAGGCAGGTTCTGTGCAAAAGACCAGTGGCAAGTTTGCACACTCAGCTTGGCTGTGTTATTCAGGGACACCTGGTTGTTGTGACCAGCACAGCTGTGCTGGCAGAAACACCTCAAATACTTGCAGTTATGCCAGCAAAACTGTATTTTGAGCATTGTTTTTTTCTGGCACTAAGACTTGGGGATGGTGTTACCACCTTGGCACAAAGCATACAGCCATCAGTACCATCCGTTATATTGGACGCAGGATACAGGATACAGTACAAAATAAAATAATCCTAGTGTCCCATGTTTGGTATAAAGATCGTAGAATCATAGGATGTATTGGGTTGGAAGGGACCTCTAAAGGCCATCTAGTCCAACCCCCCTACAATAAGCAGGGACCTCTCTAACGAGGTCAGGCTGCTCGGAGCTCCATCAAGCCTGACCTTGAATGTCTTCACGGATGGGGCTTCCACTACCTCTCTGGGCAACCTGTTCCAGTGATCCACCTCCCTCATATTAAAGAACTTTTTCTTAATGTCCAACCTAAATCTACACTTTTCTAGCTTAAAACCATTACCCCTCGTCCTATTGCTACAACCCCTTGTGAACAGTTCTTCCCCTGCCTTCTTATAGGCCACTTTCAGGTATTGGAAGGTCGCTATAAGGTCCCCCCAGAGCCTTCTTTTCTCCAGGCTGAACAACCCCAACTCTCTCAGCCTGTCTTCACAGGAGAGGTGCTCCAGCCCTCTGATCATTTTTGTGGCCCTCCTCTGGACACGCTTCAACAAGTCCGTGTCCTTCATGTGCTGGGGGCTCCAGAGCTGGACGCAGCACCGCAGGTGAGGTCTCACCAGGGCAGAGTACAGGGGGAGAATCACCTCTCTCGACCTGTTGGCCACACTGCTTTTGATGCAGCCCAGGATGCGATTTGCCTTCTGGGCTGCAATTGCACATTGGTGGCTCACGGCCAGCTTTCTATCCCACCTTTTTCCACAGGGCTGCTCTCTAGCATGTCTTCTCCCAGCCTGTATTGATACTGGCAGTTGCTCCAGCCCAGGTGCAGGACCCTGCACTTGGCCTTGTTGAACCTCATGAGATTCACCTGGGCCCACCTCTCCAGCCTGTCCAGGTCCCTCTGGATGGCCTCCCTTCCCTCTGGCATATCAACTGCACCACCCAGCTTGGTGTCATCAGCAAACTTGCTGTGAGGGTGCACTCAATGCTGCTGTCAGTATCATTAATGAAGATATTAAACAACACTGATGGCATAGATGGCAAATCTCCATCTAAAAATACTAATATTCTGCATGTACAATGTTTTTTCAGCTTGACTTTTTACTCCTGTCTCCTTTATGTCCTTCTTTCTTTCATCTCTTTACCAAATGTAGAAAAACTTCAGAGCTCAGCTCCCTGCCTATTTCAATTGTAAATAGGCCATTTCTGAGCTGACAAATCAGTGTCATCAGTGTCACCCAAGGGTCCTGTTAACAGATTCTGTCTGTTCCTTAACAGACCCTATTTGTCTGCAGTTAATAAAGCAAAGGTGATAGTAGGTATTCCAGGTGGTTTAACTTCGTAGAAAGCCTTGGAACTTGAGGAGAGCTCTTACCATTATTTCACTGAAGTCTAGACCTAGTCTTTGAGGTTTTGTACCCTCAACTGACACAATCAACATCTGACCTGCTACTGTCTGACCAACATGTCTAAGAGCAAAACCGCACACTTGGGGGTTTTGCATATGAAAGGGGGATTGCTCAGCACTTCCCAGGACCTACTGTCCTGCTGTGAGAGCAAACCCCACGTCTGGGGACTACAGGAGTGGCTGGTGTACCTTCCAGAGCTCCTCGGCCCCACTGCTGAATGTGTGTCTCCAGGCGTGTGTCAGCAGTAGCGATGTTGCCAGGGGACTTTTACCAGGCTTCATGGTATGCAATGTCTTCTTTGTTGCAGCCTATATATGCTTCAGGTGAGATATGGACATCTTGTAGGCAGCAGTTAGGGATGGCAGGGGTAGTGATGTCAGGTGCATCCAAAGGATGTGGGCAATGTTTTGACAGTTCTTTTCAGATTTGAGAGCAGGATTTAGCATCATCACCAAAAACACCGTTGTCACGTGGAGATTAGCCAGTAGCAAAATGATGGGAGTTTTCTACCAGGTGACTTGAAGACAACTCTCATATCTAACCAGGCTTGGTTTTATTAAGGGCTTGGGCTGTAAATCCAAAATGTAACTCCCTCCTCCTTAACAAGGAAGAAATTCCCACTCAAAGAATCAGACCTCTGAAAAAAATCAGTTAAACTCCTTACATTGCAATTTGAATTGCCTGTTGGACCAATCATATATTTCAAAAAGCAGAAGCCTAAGATTTTTTCTCTCATCAATAAACAAGGTCCCGTCTTGTGCAGGTGCTTGTGTGGGCCAGTACTGGGGTTGTTGTTCTGAACAGCTGGAACAGCCTTAAGAGTTTTCTGCATGTGTCATCCAGCTGGCAGACAGATTTTAATTCAGCATAGCATCTACATTTAATTATAACTGAGGTAAAGTCCCAGGATTTGCATGGAAAGATAAGATTTGGCAAAAAAAAAAAAAAAAAGTGCTGTCCCTGTGTGTGAGGCAAAAAAAAATAACCACAAAAGAGCCGAGCTCTTAAGTTAACTGCTAGTTTTGAAACAAAAGATATGGGGTTTTTTTCCCAACCTATTTAATCAGAAGACAGAAACCAATATCTATATTTGTTAAAATCAATGCTTCCCTCCTCACCCCCACCTATGCTCAGAGAAAAAACTGTTAAGCAGAATCACAAAAAGAATGGCTCTGTGTTTACTGACGTGGTCTGTTTGGCTGGATCAACAGCTTTCTTGTGACCAAAAGCCATGGACTTCTGTCATAAACACAAATGATTCCAGCAGATTCTCAAAACTATTAAGAAGGGGGTTAAATGGAAAATGAAGTACAAAAGTTCATGAATCTGGAGGCACATGCTAGGGTATCTGTTCTATGCTTTGCTGGTCTGAAAAGATACTTTGCACGCAAATGACTTTAACAGATATTCTATAGTGTAGTTCACAGTTTTGTTTTCCATTTTTTCATCTTTCTGTAGAGGCCTCCTGGAGCTTTTTCTGGCTGCTCATGGCAATATATAGCAGGTTCCAAGATGAACTGCTAAAAAAATCCCTTTTCCCAATGCTGCTTTAATGCTTTCTTTAAAACATAATGAGTCTACATGTTGTTGTCTCAAAATATATATGAAAAAAAAATCAATTTTTCACAATTTGCTAGGCAACTGAATAGCTCTCCATGGATCCTGCAGCTCTGTCCTCACTCATTCCTCAGCTCAGAAACAGATAACACAACACAGGTGGCATGATGCGATCTTCGCAGTTATTCCATCCAGCACCAGGAGACTCCTTTCTCCCAGGAGGAGGTCCAGGCTGGGTTGCGGTCTGTGCTGCAGCTACCCAGCTTCTCCAGCAGAGAAAGGCAGCAGGCTATTCACACTATTGAAAGCAGAAAAACAGGGAAAAGATAAGATTTTTAAAGGCAAAAATCTTTAAAGGCAACTTTTTGTGTCCTAGGGAATCTATAAATTGTGTGAAGAGGAGCTCGGGGACTTACGGGAGGAAGATTGTTATTGTTTTTCTTTATAATATTTTGAAGTCACATTCCTCCTGAGATACAATACAGTTTTCCCAGAAAATCAGAGAAACACTAGAGTTCCTTAAACTAATGCTTGTGGTTGGATATAGATAGAAGATTTTTTTTTTCTTAAGATTATGTATTTATTTATTTTTCTTTCAGGGAGATGAGCTCAAAGCTCCTTACTTTGTATCCAAACAGTGGGGCTCTTTCTTCGTGGACAGGTTGCCAGGCCTGGAAAATGCAGAGGAAACCTTAGTTCGCACATGGTCCTGTAGATGTATTAGCACTTACAGCACTATTGCAATCCCTAGTCTTGAAGCAATAGCAGGTAAGGAAGATTGCTTTTTTTTTTTTTTTTTCCTAAAGAACATGTAGTATTCATAGTAACTTTGTTATACCGTAGATCTATTTTTGAGATTACATGTATCCAAAATACGTTCAAAAATATTCCGTTCATATCATGCAGAGGTAATGCTAGTGGCTATTAATTGCTTTGATGTTTATGCTTTTAATAGTTGTCAGCTACACCAGTTCAGTTTTTTGTTTGTGCCTGCAGATATTAGATGTTTAGTTTATCCTACGTTAGAAATAGGATGCCACATTTAACAGATTGTAGATTAGTTCCTGAATTTTGATTCAGGACTTCCCCACAGTATTTTGCTGTGTCTGCTTTCAGGGGTGAGTTACCTTAGGAAACAAACAGATGCCAAGTTCCTTGGGTTTTTTTAGACTTCCAAATATGTTTCTCTCTGATCTGGCTTGTTATCCTTCCTCAATCAGCTCACTTATCCCTTTACAGTTGAAATGGAGATGAAGTAACACAGGAATGTAATGAAGCCAAGAATCCCTATGACTGTGCTTCTCTTTCTCTCTTTTTTTTTTTTTTTTTTTTTAATGTGTGTATTGCTTTTGAAACTGCATCATTATGGACAGAGCTGGAGCCTAAAATATTCTCCTTATCTGGAAAACAAGGCAATCACAAGCAATGTCTTGTTCTCCAAAAATTCACCTAATTGAGAAATCAGCTCAGGCTTTCTACCTTCTTACATCAAGGCTGCGTTAAAGGTACAATTATGGCTCATCTTCTGATTTTCACTGATGTTTATCCCTGGAGGGATGATACATAATTTTGGATAGTTTGTAGGAATAGTTGTAGCAGTAATACTGCAGTAATTTTTGCAACTGCAGTACTTTATCAATACACCATATCTAAAGAAATAAACAAATTATTAAATGAATGAGATGCTTAGCTGTATGAAGAACACAACAAGTATCTAGTTTACTAACGCCTCTGTTCTGTGTCTGTTGCCTACTTCAGGCATAAGACCAAGGATAAAAAGAGAGCATTTCAGATTTGCCTAGCAGTTATTTCTGCACCAGAACATGTGATAGACCTGTTTTTTGCAACCATATTTTACACATGTGCATATAAGGATGTCTCAAAACAGAAAACTCATTCCATAACACAGTTTATTTATGTTTCTGATATTCACTGTGTTACAGTCTGTATTTCAGCCTAAAGGTACAAAGCCCAAATATACCAAGGGAGGTTGCCAAGATGAGAGGTAACTTCTGTCAAACTCCCTTCTAATACGTTTTACAGAGTCATTCTGTGGCTCACTTTGGAAGTGTTGTCCTAGAGGAAACATGTCGGTCAGCCACACGCTGTGAAACTGCCTCCCAGCCAGCTCCCCCCAACCACAGCTCAGTTTGCAGGGCTAGCAGAGGCTTTAGACCGCAAATGTACCACCAACATTCCAGCTACAGGTGAAGGGGTGAGAACCAGAAAGGCATCTCTGTGTAAATCAGCAAGCAGTATAGCTGCCTATCATCGGTGGTGGAGCCCCTGCAAAGTCTGTTCCTCCATTAGGAGAGACACTCTGTGCCATCCCTCTCTGTGTCAGACGGGTGCTGCGGCAAGGGCTGGTATCTGCCAAACTCATACCCCAGAACTAAAGCACGGGGGAGAAATAACGTTTTTAACTTGCAGCTGGGCACCTGAAAGCAGACGCAAAGCTCAAGGTACAAGAACATCTCTGGTTTCTTACAGAGAGAGGTATTTCTTGTTTGTTTGTGCGGAAGAGCAGATGTTCATTATTATGGATGTTGAGGAATTCCTGACTCCTATCGAATACCTTGTCTGACTCCTGTCACAGCAAGCTGTGAGAGCCCCTGCTTTGCCAAGCCCTGAAGTTTTTGGCTGCAGTTGTAAGTCATAGCCTAGCTGCAACTATTTGGGAATTACTAGCTAGAAGAGATTCAAATGGGTTACACGAGTTTGATGCACTCCAGCTTTTCCTTTTCTATTCATCTACTTTAATTACCAGCAGAGGACTTTCCACTTCCAAGCTGCAAAAACGCAAGCCTTCCCTCAAGATCTCCCAAGCCCAAATGCACAGCTGGGCTGACGGCGTGCTGGCTGTAGGTGGCCAGCTCCCGGCCACCAGCTGGCACGACCCCACAGCACCCAGCTCAGCCTGACCCAGCCAAACGAGCTGCTGCCTCCCTGGAGGTGTGCTGCAGCCTCCTGTGAGTTGTGGGGTCAGCAGGACTTCTCTATACCTGACTTTTGTACGTCTACATGAGGGATAGTAAGTGCCATGTACAAGTAAATATCCCAACAGCTTGCGATATTTGGGGAAAGACAAACAATTGCTGCTATGCTAGCCTTAAAATTGATTTTTGTTGTTTGGGTGCAACATAGGTCTGTGCATAAAGAACAGCTTGGTTTACTTCTCAAGACACATTTTTCATTGAAAAAGATTTTTCCAAAAATTATTCAATGTTATGCAATACTAGTGGTGTTTTATAAAAATAACTCAGTTTCCATCAAAACTCTTTATGAGAATTCTTTTGAAAGAGTTATCAGAAATTCATTTTGGGTAATAAAACCCTTCAAGCCTGTTTCCATTTTTTTTAAATGGAGGAAATACATAATAAAATAAATAAGCTGTAGATCTGGATTGAGAAGTTGGAATAGAAACAACTTTGACAGTTATTTTTTTCACAAACATTGTAGGTTTGGTGCAGACGCTGTCTGATAGCTTCATGTGAAGAATTTATACATGTAACTAATGGGAACAATATGATATTTACCAAAGAACACTGAAAGAAAAGGGTTTCACAGGGAATGCTGCTGTTACAGTTTTTGGCCATTCAGAGTATAAAATAACAGCATATACAGAATTTATGTGTGTAATTAGTATAATGAAAGCTTGGTGATAATGGTATCTATTCTTCATTAGCTTTCTGTGCTAATCGAATGTAGTTGTTCTTCAACACTTCTGTCCCCATCTTTACTTGAAAATTCAGTATGTGACTCAAAAGGGGTTTGCATTCAAAGATGCATCAGAAATTCTGAACTTTAATCTTGCCTCTGGCAAGGAAAGTATTAGTGAGATTGCAGATTACTGCATCACAGTGTGTCATCTAAGCTCCCCTGACAGTCCCTGAAGAGAAATTGGCGTTTCCCTTGTGCATGAAAAAGGACGTTTTGTTTATTGATAAAATCGCCCAAAGGACAGAAAGGATCTTCTATAATACCTTCTGTGTACTTTCCTCTGTTTGGAGTGGAAATCAGATAAAGGTCAAATAAAACTCTTCATTTACAGCATTATCACCTTGACATTAAGACGACATTAAGAAGGTTTAACTGAAGAGCAGCGTTATGGTTGCATCTTTGTAATGTTAAGAGAAGATAAGTTAAGTTGAAAGTTTTCTAAACATTTCGTAGGTCTTTTATGAGCTAATTCTCCTTACCTACTTTCAGTAAGCAGGGAAGTTTTTCTCAAGTATTGGAAAGCTGAGGAGCTCATGGTTATATTGGTAGTACATGGTTAATAAAATAGTAGAAGCCAATGCCCCTATTCCTGTTCTATATGCCTCATTCACAAATCTGTTTCTTCACTTTTCTGTTACTGAATCCCTCCTCATTTACAGCTCCCTTACAGATTTTGACCATTTTCAAGCACAATAATATCGGAAGCCAAATTTTCCAAACCAGGATCTGTTACCGTGGGAATATTACATTTGAGCTCACACATGGAAATTAAAAGGTGTAGGGGTCTGTCTCAAAAATGGCACTTTGCATAAACCACAGTTTCTAATACATCCTCCTCCACTTCAGAAAGTTGGGTATGAGCCAAGTAGAGGCAGGTGCTCTTATCTATACCTGAATAATCTGAGCTTTACCTTCAAGGAGCAGACGACCACTACTGTGTGGCCATTTGATCAAATTTCCAGATACCCATGTAAATAATTATATGTCTTGCGTTAGGTTGGAATACCTAAACCATAATTACAGAAGATCTCTCTGATTCACAAAGAAGATCAAATATAAATAACATCTTATTTACTAAGCAAGTTTTTGTAGGAAAACAGTTACTCAAATAGCCAGTGCTACCATTTCAGATGCATATTTGATTAACAATTCTTTGATCACAAAAATTATGTGCATATTTCAATTTAATGCTTTTCATTTGAATCTCATTATGGTTGGTATTTTTATAAAACTCCCACTTCAAAAAAATCCATGATGAGTAACTGTGTTTTACAGCTTATGGGGGAATTTTGGTAAGTTTGTTTTGTTCTTCGTTGCAAAGAAAACCTCAAGAAAGTGGGTTTTAAATCCTAATAAGGAGAACCCAAAGAAAATTTTTCTTAAATTTCATGATTGTTCACCTTATCTCCTGAACTTGTCTCATAACCTCTAAATGGTGATGTTCATATTAGGATTAAAAATTACTGCAAGCAAGAACAGGAGATTGAGCAATATTGCAGCTCAAGAGAGTTGCATTTCAGAGAAGAGTTAGTGCGATTGTAAGTGTTTTGTGGAGACAGAGTTTTTTTCACACTTTGGAGATCCGACAACCAAGCTTGTGTCTTGCATGAGGTTAATGTATTCTTTTAAATCTTGTGTGCTATATGAAATCTTATGCTTTGCCCATATGGGTGCATAAGTTTTTCTTCATGCCTTGTTGTTATTTCAATTAGCTCGTACAAGAGACAAATCTCTGTTATAATTTACCAAAGCTGTCTCTTTAAAGACGTCTGCCGATCTGTATCCTGCCACTTTCTGCAGGAGTTTGAGTCATCAGCCTGCTTGCTGTATAAATATAATGATAACATTGCCAGTGAACCATGGCAAAAAAGTTCATGTTTCTGCTTAGGGTTGCAAATTATCTGCACAATGGAAAGCCCAAGGCAGCTGGAGCTGGGGTACCAGAACTGGCAACACATGGGTTGCAGATCCATGGGTCTGCCCATCACAGATCAAGTACAAATTGCAAACCCCACACTCTTTCTTCAAGATGTATTTTAAAGGTGAAT